GTAACAATTGGGGTTATTAAGTCTTCAACCAAGCACTAAGCTCACTTTATGTCTTGTCCAATGTCACGTGACTGGACAAATGGCACAGGCAAATCTGAAAAGTGCTGATAAACAGAAGTGTAAAACGTTCCTATGATTTACCATTAGTGTTCCACATCACGTCTGAAATAGGTTTTAAATACTATACGTTTTTATGTCATTCTTGTGGACGAAACAAGTCGTAAAAATGTCATGTGAGGGCATATTTGGGAAAAAAAAACAGAAAGAAGTTCATTTTTGATGAGGAGGACCGTTTTTAAACTGCAGCTGCTCAACACAAATGGCAGAAATTCCAGATGATCCCGGGCCTCTCAGAAGGCCGGAGCTGGCGGAATCCTTTGGGCTGAATCACCTCTGAGTGTGCCGTCAGCTGGGACCGGCACCAGGGTTTTCTGCATCATCCTTTTCCCACCGCCCTGGCGTCCAGCCTCTGGATGACAAGTATTTTCCCAGGCTCCCTGTCTGCGCCACCTCAGCGCTCTGCGTTACCATGGGGTTAAAAACCTACCAACAGAAATGGAGAAAATAGAGTATCGGCCAGTTTATATTCAAATGTATATATGAAGTATGGAATAAAACCTGGAAGTTTCCAAACTCGCCCAGACTTCCTGTAGTCATCCTGAGCGTAGTGCACGTGCGTGAGGCGCGCCGTGGACGTGGGCGTGTGTGTGTGTGGGGGGGCATTACCATACCTGCAACAGTGGTCTTTTAAGTGCACCACTTGCGCTTTTCAGCCTAATCTGGCGTCACAAAAGAGCGTCTCACAGTTGTCTCCCCGAGTTTTCTAATGATATGCAAAACTGAAGACTGACCCCCGAGTCAGCCGCGGCTTATTAGGGAGGAGGGAGAGGCCCAGGCCAGTAGCCAGGAGTCCACTCCCCACCAGTTAATCACTTTGTAGGAAGCGCTTTTATAGACGAGCGAACTTGGTAAAATACAAAAATAACGCTTATCCGAATAAAACTTGAAGGCTTTTAGTTTTTCCACGAGGAGCTCAACGCTCGCGTGACTTTTTTCCAGGCGCCACGTTTTTATTCTCCTTATCTGATCTAATCATTCCGCAGTAAACAAAACGTCTTGGGTGACTTGTGCCGTGGGGAGAGTGCGCGTCTGCGCGTCCCGCTCCTTATCAGGTGGGGAAGCGCAGTGTGGGTGGGGGCGTGGGGGGGGGGGGGGGTGGGGGGGGGTGGAGCCAGGGCAGAGTCGCCCATTCCTAAAGCTTGAATCACACTACGCTCTTCATTCACATTCCTGCTGGGAACTCCACGGATCCGTCGGTTTGGAGCTCGGACGCGCGGAATTCTCGCCCATCGCAAGGGTTTTTTTTAAGTAAAAAACAAAAAAGTAGAAACCATGGATTTACTTTCACGCGTAGCTGTTGGAGGATGCTCGCCACCCACGGTGTAGTGCTTTTTTGGTGTGTGTTTTGTTTTTGTTTTTCTCGCTGTGGAGCTTATCATGCGGACTTCGTCCTAACCGGAGCCTGGAGGTCGCTCTCATGGTGAAAGCCTGACGGTTAAAAATGATATTAACACGTAAGTAGATCAAGAAGAAGCGTGTGGCTTTTTGTGATTTCTTTCTTTTTTTTTATCGAAAGGGGAAGAGAAAGAATCTCCTTCCACCCAAATGGTTTCCTGTTTATTAAGGAGAAACGGCGCTCAGTCGTATGGATGTGTAGAAAGGGAAATTCCCTTATGTGAAGGTAACATGTAGCGGTAAAAAGCCCTGGACTGTCTGCTGTAGTTTTCCCTTTACCATGAAGGCTCTTCCAGGTCTTGGTGGAGGCGCAGCGCTTGCGGCTGTCAGATAAGAACTCTGCCCGCTCGCCGCATACCTCCACGTCCCCACTCCTGTTTGCACTTCCCTGCATGTCCCCGGGTTCGGCTTTTTACCAGATAACCCCTTCCCCAAGTCACGGACTCTGTTGGTGGATGCTTTTCCAACCCCGCAGTCATAGTCCTGCGCGGAACTCTTCTCCCAATCCATTTTTTTTTTACGCACAGGGCAGCCAAAGGAAGGCTCTGGAACGGTTAGGATCGAATTGAGTGGAAAGCCCGAAGCGGAATGTTGAGCCTGTTCAAAGTGTTATTCAGATTATCCGCAGGTATAGGCTGGTACCAGTCACATCCCTGCGCTTTGGGGTTTTCTTTCTGCCTTAATGGATGTCTTTTGCTTATGTGAAACCCTGTTTGAAGTTGGGTTTTTTTTGTGTCCCTGTCAAAGTTTCATTGATTAGTGTTTCCTCCCCCCTCCCTGTCTCATCAGCTGCCTGTTCCAGCATATGGCTCTTTTTTTATCAGTTACCTAAGGTGTGTAGTAGATATGGGCTCCGTGAGGTTCAGTTAAGCCGTAAAACCGTTAGGGGCAAGCTGGAGGGCATCCGGCCATCACTGAGCGAGCTGGATTAAAAAATAATGTGAGGTTACCACCAACTCAGGGATGCCAAAGTGTGCCGGTCCCTGTTTCTGCTCCTCACCTCAGCATTATTTTACGCATTGAGAGCATTAGTTAGGCAGTGTTTCCTTGCATTAGCTCTCCGACAAGCTAATGAAGGAAACAGGCCTGGTCTGCACGCTGCTGGAAGGGAAATGAGCTGCAGGATTCTCTGTGAGATTTATATTCATGTGTCTCTGTATGTCCTGTGAGGAGCTCCACATGTGGATTTTTTTCCTTTTTTTTTCCTGGTTCTGTATGTACTTTGCTGCCCTTAGATCTGGTAATTTACAGCAGGATGGGGTGAGGAGGAGGGAGGGAGGGAGGGGGGGGTCTCCTGGCAGGTAAGCTGTCATCTGCCTTTAGAAAAGCCCCTCAAAGGTTTGAATATGTCTGGTCACCGGATCCTGGGATAGGGCCCTCTCCTCGTGAGCATAAATCTGTCGTCAGGGGGGCACGGGGCCCGGTGGGGTTAGCAAAGCGATGATCCATCTGGGCCAGCTGTGGGTCTGCGTGTGTGTGTGTGTGTGTGTGTGTGCTGCTGGGTCCAGGCCTGCATGCCTGCACCAGCTGGTGGTGGATAGCTGGAATGGACAGTGTTGGTAACTTTTTTTTTTCTTCTCTCTTTTGTCCCCGTGTGCATGTGTGTGTCAATGGATCATAGCTTGAGGCCAACCAGATGGCAGTATTCCTGGCATCATATCACTTAGCCAACAGCCAGACCCTCTCTGCGACCACCAGCTGTCCGAGTAGTGGAATCGTAGAACACGATACCCATAAAGAAAAAAAACTTGCTTTGCATTCCAGTAAGGGTCATACCAAAACCCTTATATCCAGTTGTCCCGTGTGTTTCATACAGGAAAGGGGAAGTTTTGAAGAAACAAATGTAATAATTAAGATTATACAAGAGCAAAAGATGCCTTTAGCCGGCTTTTTTTATAACTCCACCTGTCCAGGCCCACTTTTCAGGCCCCACTGACTGACCCACTCCACCCTGGACTACATTAGAGCCTGATTGTTTTTTGCAGACAACACTTCTAAACTCAGCAATGGCGGGCTGTTTCCAGATTAGCTACAGACACTAGAAAAGCATTCTTCCTAACCTGCCCACTTCAAAGCCCCTGCATTACAGATAACTGGATTCAGACTCTTGACCTCCAGCCTGCCACAGCAGAGCCTTTTGAGGCGGGGAGCAGCATCCTTTGTTTGCTAACCGCTGACAAACTCCCATTGGAGCTGCACATTCAGGCGCAGTCTAGCCAAACCCTGTTGCCTCCTGCGATGGAGGAAAGCTCCGGCCGGCAATTGTGAGAATATCCTGCCTCCGGAAGGGAGAGAAAAGAAGTGGCAAGCATGGTTGAAATAAGCAGAGGCCGTGTTTGAGATGGAGGGGGGGTTGAGAGAAGGTTAAAAACATTTTGTAAAAAGGGAGGGGTGGCTATGATGGGTCATTTTGGGAAGTTTTAAATTTCATTTTGACCGCTGAGTAGGAGAGAATGACATAGTATGACATTTCCTAGCATCGGGTCAGGCCTTAGCGGCTGTATCTGCTACTCACTTTAAGATTCCCCCCCTTTCGAGAGGCGGTGTTTCGTCAACCAGAATGAACCTACAGCTTAGATCTGAACTAGGCCGGTCCGAACTATGTTAACCAAATAGTTTGAGCACAAACCAACCGTCCAACAGCCGGTGACAGTTTATGCTGAGGGAAGTTTAATAGGAAGGGATTTCTCCCATTTTTATTTACACCAGTAAACAACTCAGGCAACATGGGTATGATTTAAACAAGATGGACAAGCTTATTGTATAAGAAGCTAATTTAGCATTAAAACCAAAACTGGACTAATTCTGACCATTAAGAAAACCCGCTGTCTGTCTTTGTACCTGGTGTTTTCAGCCCTCCTGTCTGTCTGTTGCTGTTGACCTTACAATTGTACTATCTGATGTTCTGCCAACAGCTTGGCACACACAGACCGCCATCGTAAAAGTTATGAAACTCTCCTTTCTTCTGGCGGTTAGGCCGATGACGGGCCCTTTATGGCCGTCCTACACGGGGTCTAAGTGCGTGCTGCGAGACGTTGGCTCTTCGGCGGCCCTGTGTCCGCCTCTAACAACGGGGACGTTTGCTTTGTACACACAATCACCGGAGCCCGTGTTTGTCTTGGCTGCCTCCGAGCCTATTATCTGGCCGGGAACAAATGAAGGCAGGGCCCTCCAGCCAAGCGGTCAGCGCCGACTGCCGCCGGGCTCGGCTTTCTTCCTGCCGGGGAAGCAGGAAGAGGAAGTGAGGTAGTCCACTGGCGCGGGTTAGGGAGTCGGGATGGACTCCGAGCTAAGAATCAAAGACAGTCATTAGATGCAAGCAGATGATTTTATAAATGATAGCAAAGGGGTGTTTGCAGGGTGACCCCTTTGTGACAGGATATTCTTGTAAAATTCCTTCGGTGAACTATCTTTTTTCTTTCTTTTTTTTTGCTGAGATGTGTATGAATGTGTGCAAAGCTCTATTGTTAAGTTGTTTGTGCCAGATGCCCCATGCCCCCTGTCCACTTCCTGCAGCCACACAAAAGGCTGACAAATATTCTTGCTTCACCCCAACACAATGTGGTGCGGTGACAAATATTATTCAGTTTGATGCATCTGCACAGGGGGAGGCTGTTGTCATTTTTTTTTTGTCATTCTTTATTTCTTTGGCACGTTAAGTTCACATTATAATACTGTAAAGTAGATTTGACACACATTGTACCCCATCGGGGGTGTGTCTCTGGATAGCCTCCCACCAAAGCAGCTTATTGGATCCCGTAGCTGTTATTCTTGGCTTTTGGGGTGGAAAGCGATCAATGTGTTTGTATGTCTAATTTGCATTTCAATGGCCCTCACTGTCTTTTGAGCGATTTGTCTTTAAACATGAGGTTGGCCTAGGCAAACACAGAGACTGTCTTGTGCACACTTACACGCTTTCCCCGCATACACACAGATAAACAAGCGAGCACAGGAATCTCCAGCCCTGCATGTGTGCCTGCCTGCAAGAATGTGGGCATAATTATCCCCCGGTCTCCATCTTCCTCTGAGTTCACAGCCCTCCAGAAGCACACGGCTAAACTCCCGTTCAAAGAACAATTTTTCTAAGACACGCCATTTCATGCCCGCTGGGAAAAGTGGAGCCTGATTCCCAAACGAGCAGTTATTGTTGGTGTGCTGTGCACCGTTTTGTGCGCGCTGCTTCCATGCCTGCGGTGGCCCTCCAACAGCAGAGGGTTAGACTCTGTTGTGTCACACCTTGTTGTCAGAGGGCTCATCGGCCGTCTAGGCTTGTTGTTGGTATGTAAATGATCGTATATCGCGCACACCAGACCCCTCACAGTCCTGACCTCTCTGTCAGCCGGAGTGTTTTATGGTCAACTTTCATTTGAGGAGAGACTCGCTGTGGAGTTGTCAGTGTGTCACCTGTTTTTCATCATGTACCACATAGTTATCTTCGTGTTATTCCCAAAGATTAAGTGTCTTTTCATTTTCTTGTTTTGTCTTTTGGATTTTTGTTTTTTTAAAGCCGCTTACCTGTGAAATCAGACAAAATTTTGATACCAATCATCAAATGAAAAAACTTGAAACATCGAACAGCACCTCGTTTCACGCTCTGATAGACACAGAAAGTCAGGCACAGCCGCCTGACTTTCTTTTGTTGTCGCTTTCATCCATAGTTTACCAGTAGCTTTTCCTGCTTTTGTCCTGACGGTTTATCTTTTCCCCAAGGTTGTGCTACATTTGTACCGTCTGCCACTTGAGTGCCGCGGGAGCATTGTAAAAGCCGGCTCCTTACAGCCTTGAGACGCGTTTCTGTCCCCTCCTCAAACTGCCGGCTACGTGGAGCGGGCCAGGGTGTCGGCAGCCATTTGGCGCATGTCATCTAAAAGGCTTTCACACATAATTGGGAGCCATCCCCACGGCTTCCCTGACATACCGTGAACCTCATCATTCAGTCAGAGTACTTAGCAAAACAGGCCCGAATGTCACACCCTGTGTTTGAAAGGAGTTATGAAAGCATTAGCTCGGCGGTTTTGGGGACAAGCTGGATTCCAGTCACACTGGGAGTGACACGTCTGACGCAAAGCATTCTGTCCTTTTTGGAAATAGCGCGCCACAGACTTCTTCAACACTTATATAATCCTCCACACGCAGTGGCATCCAGTTAAACACAGACATTTTCAAAGGCATTCGTGCTCTGGAGATGATTAGGTGAATAATGAAAAGTGTCGCCCCGCATGGCTGAAGGGGCCCAAGTGGCACCCACTTGGCATCCGAGGGTGTCAACGCAATTTGCCTGAACCATGCTTTGAGCTCCAGCTTTAAGAGCATGTGACCAGAGAGTCGCTGAGTGTGAGATAGCTAATAAGGTCAAAGAGTTCACATGTGATAAGCCATGGAAAGAGTGCACAGTTCCAGGATTGTCCGACACTGATGTCCGAACAAGATAGCTTTGCCAAATGATGTGTCGTTTACATTTAACAGATATGTTTTTGATAAATGATGACTATTTGCTTTTGTCATTAAATCACGTGTTCATTCACTTTATAGTGTGATTAGTCAGTGAGATACAGGTTTCATTTTTGTGATATTAAGCGCTGACATGTTTTTCCATCTTTCTTTGTGTTGTTCTCTGTAGAAATTGAAGCCAAAGAGGCCTGTACCTGGCTCCGAGCGGCCGGGTTCCCACAGTACGCGCAGCTCTACGAAGGTAACAAACTTCCCAACCCATTATCAGAAGTTATTCCTATTCCTATATGATTTAAACATAATTTACCGTAGTTCCAAATTCGACAGACCATCACATTGATGACGATGAACAAGACAAAGCAAATTCCCAAACTCAATTTAAACTGAGATCAAATGTATCCACTGCGTTTTTATTTCTATTTCTATTTATTTATTTTGTTCATGGAGGTCAGGCTGTGATGCTTATTCTCTATGACGATTGTTGCTATGCAAATTAAAGATCAGTGAGTACATGCGCATACGTGCACCCATGCTTTGCACTGCGTAACCTTCCTCCACAAGAAGAATTTGAACTTACAGCACGTTGCTCAAATTAGCAATTGAAAATATTCCAGTTGTCATTGTTTATTAAACAAACCCAAAGGATGTCTTCAGCTGCCTCTAAACTCGTTTTAGAATGGAAGCATGTCTTGACCCTTCAGTTCTATACGCACTTACCAAAATACACCAAGCATTCTTTGCCGTTCCTATAGCTCGGAGTACAACTACACCAAAGCCAACCATTTGCATACCACTTGGCTTTATGTAATTACAGAACGATGACAGCAGGGCCAAGCTCCCGCTGTCAACAGGTCATTGCTTGTTTCCACTTAACTGCAAAAGCGTTCCATTCGAGCTGAATGGTCATTCAGCTCAAAAAAGCACAAACCTCAGCCAATCGCTGGCCGAACTTACAGTGGGGCTACCTCATGAGTTGCTGCCACACACTGTTGTCTGTTCTGTAGGACTACTGCCCCACTAAAGATAAGCAGTCTGATAGACCCGTTTCAGGGCCAGAAGGTAAAGACGATGGACTCCTTTCTTATCATCATTACCTTGCCTTAGGGTGCAGGCCAAGATTCTCTCTTTTTTTCTTTTTTTTTTTGGGAGGGGGGGTAGGTCAGCACATTCCTGAGAGCCTCTCGGTATTTAGAGGCAGAAAAGAGCATCTAGACCGGTCCTCTTTTAAAGCCGCGTTAACCTCTTCAGCTGGAGTGGCTGGCCAAAGAATGGACCCTGTCATCGGGGTAGACCGGAGAGAAACAGTCGGAAGCAGAAAGGGAAGTGGGAGCTTTGGGTAGCAGTGGAATACCCATTGTCATTCTTCAATCAATCCCCTGTTCTCTCCCCCTGTGCTCCATATCCCCCCTGCCTGCCCAGTTTGAAAGCTGCAGCTGTGTTTGTTTGGTGGAGTAAGACACTACTTCCTGTTATAGCTTTTCATCAAGGTTGTATGGGGAGGGGAGAAGGTAAGTGTTTGAGCGGGCGGGTGTGTTGTAGATTAGCGCTGGAGAAATGCCAACACTGACCTGCCTTTCTTTGCTCTGTTATTTTTTTAGATGCCCAGTTCCCCATTGACATTTGCTCAGTCACCAGAGACCACGACTTCCTTGATCGGGATGCCATTGAGGCTCTCTGCAGGTGAGATAACAAGGCATATGTAAACCTTCTTTTAATGGTGGATGCCTTTCTTCATCTTCTTTTGTGTGCCGCTCTTAACCCCCCCCCCACATCAAGTTACAGGAGCACGACTTCAAAGGGAGAAATGCTTCAGAAAGTTTCAGATTAGATAAAGGAATTAGTTGATAAGAACCTTGGGAGGGTGCACTGTAGCCGGAGTCTTTTGTATCATCATGCCTGCTGTCTGACTCCTGTTTTTCCTCATTGGATGCTAACTTTGTGTGGAGTTCCTAAAGTTTGAATTCTTATATAAAAATGGACACAAGGTACTCCGCTTTCCTTTTCTACCTTAAGTCCTGGAGCAAAAGCTTAATTAGAAAGTTTTGTTTCAACGCCAGTTTCATAAATGTCCTCAATTGGCCTTCTGAAAAGGGTTTTGTCCTGCCTTCAATTAGCATATGATAAGGGGTCTATTGAGTTTTTAATGGAGTCAGTTCCTTCATCAAACCCAGCTTTCAGTAATAAACCCCAGCAGGTGTCCCGCCATACATCTGGAAGCTATCATGGCAGTCTCTCCCCTCTTTGCAGCCTTGCACCCTTTTTCCCCAAACCCCGACTATCCCTCGGTTCCCATCACATCATTGTTACTTGATATGGTCTAAGAGCTCACAAGAGGGTGGACTCCACCACCACCCTTGCTCCCCTTCGCCAGGTGGCAGGGGGGATAAGCTTTCTGTCCCCTCCCCATGTTTTTCTCTCCAACACTCCAGCAGATTTCCCTCTCCCAGTTCTCTCCTTATCTGTCTCTTTCTCCTCCCGTTCATAAAGGGGGATTATCCTTCAGCAGCTAATTGGCTCGAGCGGTTTCACCATGGCTTCCCCTCTGTCCTTCTCCTCCCCATTTCTATTCATCTTGTTTCATCCTTTCCTCTGTTATGCACCTACCTCCTAACAGAGTTTCAAACCCTGATTGTTTTCGATGTAACCATTTTTGTGTGTCTTTTTTTTTGTTGTTGCAGGAGACTGAACACCCTCAACAAGTGTGCTCTAATGAGACTGGATATATCCCCACAACGAAAAAGAGTAAGTCTGCAAGCACCCACACGCTCTGCCCCTAACTTTGGAAAAGCCCCCTTTGACAACCTCTTCACACAGAATCGCATTTCTCACCTCAGCCATCGGGTTCTTCCACCGGCCACAGGGCAAAGCAGTGGTTTCTCTCATCTTGTTTAATGAGGAGGCACCTGTTGAGTTTATTTCCAGATCAAGAGGACAGTAAGAACCCCTAGAGGGAGGGAGGAGAACTCCTACAGAGTTGCATTTACAGGTCCCTCCCCTGATTATAAAGCATGCTACCGCTCTTTGTCAGATAGTTTGGAGCTCTGAATTGCCAAACACAAAGCAGTAGGGTGCTATCATACATCTCATGTATGTGATCATGCTTTTAAGGGTTTTTGATTATTTCAGTAGTTCAGTGATGGCTGGTTTAAGGAGGTTTGTAAGATAATTCCGTCTTAACGATTCCAGCTCTTAGATTTCCTTCTGAGGGAAGTCAGCTTCCTGGAAGGGTATTTTTCTTTTTCTTTCACAGAAGGAATGACAGCTGTGTGAAAGTCCCACTTTTAGACTGTGCATATTGAAAGTAATTTGGAATGTTGTAAGGGAGAAACTGTCACTCTGTGAGAATAATTGGCCTTTTTTATGTAACCTTAACCACTTTAAGGGCTGCATAGTAACATCCTTGTTCCATGGGTGGTGGTATTCATTAGGATGACCCTCTGTGTGTCACCTTTCATTTCAGAAGTCAACAGTGAGCCATGGAGGAGTCAAAGAGGTTATTTGCTTCTTTGACTTCTCTGCTCTTATGAGACGACAGCCTACCATGCTACACCCCCACCCAGACAACTTAGGAATGCATTGATCTCTTCATGTCTTCGCATTCCCTCTCCTTTCACCTTCCAGTTTCCCTTCCTTTGTGGCTGGCTACTCTCTGTCTGCTTTATTGTGAAAATTATTTTCATTCTCCAAACCCCCTTACGCGGCCTTCAAAGAGGCCACCATCACAGAGAATGCTTTGGTGGTTTGATGGTTTGATAAGATATCTCTTGAAATGTTGACAAATGGTTCCAACTCTGCGGGCCAATCTCTGCTCTTTGTGCACAACAAATTTAATACTACTGTTATCTCGCATTCCAGTATAACTGAAGAAACGGGCCCCATGAGACCCTAAAAAACAGGGCCGAGAGGTCTGTCTTAACGCTACTCATAAGCATATCTGCATGTTTTGTTGGGGTTTTTTGCTTTTTTTTCTCCTACACAAAATGTAATGGAATTGTTATTTTTGATGGTTGAATGAAAGTCTTTCTCTGGGTTCAGATTAAATGGTCCAAAGAAGCAGGTGGTGAAATCATTTGGCTTTTTTTGTTAGCTTCATGACTCCGATTGAAGATTAGGAATGGGTGGATTTCTCTCAGGTACAAGAACAGAACATAAGTATAAAGGAAGTGTGTGTGTGCGTGTGGCAGGGGTGACCCCAGTCTGGCTGGCTGCATTGGGACCAATGGGGGTCATATTGGAATTTCCTGGACCTTCAGGGTCTGCAATAGATTAACCAAGCTCGGGGGGTGAAAGCATTTTGGTTAAGTGCCTCAACATTAATTGTGACTCACCAAAGGGCCAGTCGCTCATTGTTCAGTGTCTGTATTGTTCAAACGGCCAGGAAGTGAGAGAAACGCGTTAACTGGTAATGTTTAGTACGTCATGTTCTAAAGTACATCACGTCAGCTTAAGTTATGTTATCCCAAACAGTTGTCTGATTTTTATCACTACCATGTGATATATCTTCTCATACGTTTGTAATTGTATTATGAAAGTCTTTGACAGCTATTGTATACAGTTTCGTTTCTTTCTGTTTAAAAATAGGATGATTTTGGGGGGAAAATTCCCACTCAGAAGAGTTTCCTGGATCAGGGTGAGGAATGTGCAAGTGGAAAATGTAGCAGAGCATAATGTCATCTAACTTCTCCCCCCCTCTTTTCTCTTTTTTTTTTTTGCTTTTTCCTCTGTCCCTTCTCCACTCCTTCCCCCCTCTTTTCAGAGTGAGGACTCGGATGAAGACGAGCCTTGTGCCATCAGTGGCCGCTGGACTTTCCAGAGGGACAGCAAGCGCTGGTCCCGCATGGAGGAGCTGGAAGTTTTCTCCATGTTGCCCACAGATGCCACCCAGCCTCCGTTTATTAAGGACCAAGTACCTCAGAAAGGCAAGCTCGCCCTGCGCGAAGGCAACAGCTCGGAGAGCATGCTGACCGACCTCAGCGAGCAGCCTGAAGTGGGCTCCATACATAGCAGCGGCAGCGGAGGAAGAGGAGAAGACAAGAGCCACGGTACCTCCTCCGCGCACGAGGCCGCGCCGGCCGGGGCCACCCGCGCCAGCTCGGTCGCCAGCATGTGCTCGTCCTCGGGCACGGGCGGGTCGGGGGGCGCCAACGAGGACTCCCTGTCCGACGGGCTGCCCCCATCGCCGCTCGAAAACCTCCGGCAGTTCACCTTCGACGTCAAAGCGGGCATGGCAGGGGGCAGTCTGGACCGAGGGGGCAGCGGAGGCAAGAGCACGCGCTCCAGAGCTAAAAGCTTCCTGAAGAGGATGGAGAGTCTGCGGCTCCGCAGCGGCGCCTCCTCGAAGAGGAAGAAGAAGGGCAGCGCCGGGGGAGGACGGATAGAGATCAGCGGCCCCGTCATCAAAGAGGGCCTGGACGACGACAAGCTGCGCAGCCTCAACTGCGTGGACATCTCCAGCGTCAACCTCAACCACCACCGCGACCCCACGCAGACCATGACCCTCAACCGGAACCGCTCCGTGTCCTACTCCACCCAGACCAGCAACGGCAGCACGGGCAGCACGGGCAGCAGCCAGTCGGAGGCCAGCAGCGGGAGCGCCGTCAGCACGCCCAGCCCGGTGACCCGCGCCCGCAGCCACAGCACCGCCGCCGCCGGGTCCAGCAAGAGGGGCGGCATGTACCTGGAGGGCTTCGATCCCTTCAGCCTCCTCCAGCAGGGCTCCGAGCGCCACCCGTCGCCGCCCAAATCCGCCCCGCCCGTCCCGCGCCCGCCCAGCAACGGGATGTCGGTGGACGAGCAGAACCGCCGGAACAACCGCGGCGCCCCCGGCAAGAGCAGGCGCCACGAAGAGGAGGAGGACGACGACGAGGAGGGCGGCATGATCTTCTTCTACCTCCCCGAAGGCCACAAGCCCGGGACCTTCCCCAAAGCCCTGCAGGACGGGAGCCCGCGCAACAACAACGGGAACGACAACGGGAACCCGGTGGTCCTCCGCGGGCGGGCGAGCAGACGCCAGCGCCGCGCCTCCTCCGGCTCCGTGGACAGCCGGCTCAGCTTCTACGACAACGTGCCCTGCCCCGAGAGGGAGGAGGGCGAGGACGAGGAGGGGGACGAGCACAAACTGGAGGAGGCGCTGCGCAACGACAGCAGCATGCAGCGCTTCGTCAACGCCTGGTCAGAGGCCGTGGCCGGCGAGGAGGAGGAGGACGAGGACGACGAAGAGGAAGAGGGGGACTCCGATTCCGCGCTGGACTCGGCGTCCCCGTGCCCGTCCTCCCCTCTGCAGAACCGGCTGGAAGAGGCCGAGAATGGAAGTGACCAAGACAGCACGGGAAACCCCCTGGGAGAAGCCGAGGACGGGATGAGGGAGAGACGGGATTCTGGTGTTGGACCATCACTGGGTCGAACCAGCAGGTCAGTGAAGGAACTGTACCCTCCTCTCACTCCTGCATTATTTAAAGAAAAAAAAGCCTTTTCAATGTTTCAAAATTGACTGAACTGAAACAGTAATTACTTCTGTTTTTCAACCTTTTATTATTATTATGCTACCAAAAATGCCAACTTTCGCTCCAATAAATGCACTGTTACATATCCATTTAGTCAAGGAAATCTAACGGGTGGTGTGATCCTGATGGAAGCATGAACGCAAACAGAAAAAACAAATACAGTGGGTCCTGTACCTTCATAAGAAGAATTATCCCAGAAAGTGACAACAAAGGATAAACAGAGGGACAGGCTGAGACTTCTCTCTTACATAATGGCGGCCGGTATTTAGGAATGCTGCTTGGTCTCCGTGGAGACCGTTTCTGTGCTTCCAAGAATTTGCTGGCAGAATTTCACTTGCCTTCTTGTAGATAATCCCTTGATTGATGTATACATACAGCCTTGTAATCTCCAAACTGATCACCCCACCCCATTCAGCGTTTGCGCATGCTGTGTGTCATTTTCCGCATCTACACACAGGCCTGACGCTGATCCCGAGAGGTTAACATGCTCTCTCTTTTTCTTCTCTTTTTTTAATGAGCATTCATCTCCACACATCTTAATTTGTGCTCTCTCTCTTTTAACGTACTCCAGACCACAGAAGCTCCGCTGGCCGAGCTTCCAGAACTCCCATCGGCCCAGCTTGGCCTCCGCCCAGCTCCAGATTAGCTGCCAATCTGTCCTACAGATGAATCTGCTGCAGAAGCTCTCCCTGTTGCAGCTCACGGCCCTCCTGGAGAAACACACCCCCACGAACAAGCATGGCTTCAGTTGGTAAGTGAGGAGGGGAAAAGGGGGAAGAGGAGCGGACAAGTTTGTAATGACTCTATTAAAACTTTTTTTTTTTTGTGGAGTTTTATCCTCACGTGAAATGGCCTCTAATTTTTCCACCACCCCATCTCCCAGTCCCTTCCATCTGCATTCTGTTGTATAGAGCTGTGACGGCTGTCCACAGAGGTTGGGTTTCACATTCTTTTCCCAGGCCCATAATTGCTGAGAAGGGGTGGACATTGTCTTCGTCTCAATGGCGCAATCATGGCCGTTCACACGCAAGGTGCCGTGCCGGCTCGGCCCTCCTCTCAAATGAGCGCTCAGATCGGTCCAGTACACCAATCCTGAGCTGTAGGTCAGACCTCACTTATCGAGCCGCTGTTACTTATCCACTAGCACCCAATATCCGATAGGACCAGAGCGTATGCTGTATAGAAGTGGGTGTTTGTTATAGTCACGCCAAGTCATTGGGATTCACTTTAAACATTATTGTGCAATATTTGTACTGCCAAACAGCTGATTCAGTATCACTAGTTTTTACATCAGAGGTTTTATGCAAGGGCCTAATGAGAAAAATGAATTAAATGTGAAAAATTACAGAATCTTCCTGGGTGTTTTTTTTTCCCCTCCCTGCTCAATGCCTCTCTCATACAGAAACAGAAGGCGTCATGACAGTCTTATGACAGGTCTGAACTCACTGAAAGAGTCCAATTGTTGACCGATTGAGGCCCATACATATTCGGAATTCCGTCCGCAATCATAAAATGTTTTTTTTTTCCCCAGTTTTTTCCCTAACACTGGTTCTGAGAAGCAATCTGGGTCTTGTGAACAGCAGCTCTTACAAAGACTCGCTTGTCCTGAGTCGAGCACAGAGTCCTTCTGCTAAACACACTCACACCCCTGCACATAGGAGCTCATCCATTGGCGCATTCATGCCAAATGGTCAGCGTAGCATGATTGGGCTCTGGGCTCGTCATTGTAGAGGGGCTGTCCTGTAGCACCGGTGTGCATTCACGCTCACAGAAAGTATCAAATACTGTTTGTAACCGCCCCTGTGCAGATGTGTAAAGCCAGTTGGTTTCTTCTTTTTTTAGCACACTGGCGTACACCCTCCTCCCCCTCTGGTCTGCCCTCCCCTGTTTATCCTCCCCTGTCATAAACCAGGAGACGGGCTTCTTCAGCAGCTCACATAAAACCAGCATTCTCACTTTGTCTTAGAAATTACCAAGTAAAACACTTCTGAGGCTACGATCAATAATCAGTTATATCAGCAACACGAATAGCATTTGTTTTTTTTATTTCTGCACAACAGCTAAAAAAAATGTTGCAAATTTCGAGAATAAAAATCCAGGTGTCCGGTGTTCACCAGTTGAAATGAATGCAGTTTTCAGTGAGTGTTCTTTTCTTCTGTGTGCGTGTGTTGCAGGGCAGTGCCCAAGTTTATGAAGCGGATCAAAGTACGCGACTACAAAGACAGGAACGTGTTCGGTGTGCCGCTGCAAGTCATCGTCCAGCGGACCGGTCAACCCCTCCCCCAGGGTATCCAGCAGGCCATGCGCTACTTACGCAATCAGTGCCTTGACCAGGTAACACGAACCACATAAGTATACACATTAAGAAACATATTAACCAGACCTGGACAAAAAAACATGTATAGACTGCTCGAAAGAATCACATTTTTAACTAAACATAAAACTTAGTTCCCTTTAAGATCCTTTCAAATCAATTGCAAAATATTTCAGTTTTAAAACATCTGCAGTCAGCCAATCCATCCATTTTCTTTTCTTTTTCTGGATGGTTATATAAGGTGGACTTGAACTGGAAAAAGCCTGGTACCCACTCACTTAGTCTCTGTGTGTATACACTTTCTCTTCTTCCCCATTTTTCTCATCTCACTGTCACGTCCCCCTTAGCAGGAGGCCTGTGGAGAATCAGCGTATGCGGCCGCAAAGTCACTTGTCTCCTTAATTTAGAAACTGGTTGAAAGAATGCTTATGCATTCACGAGGGGGAGAATGGCTCAACACATAGAAAATAGCTGTTAACGGAGCACTAAATGGCAAAGAGAATGATGGCTTTCTTCTCGGAACAAGACAAGGCGCCTCTGTTTGGAGGTGGCGAAAGCTCATGGAAAATATTCGGACTGGACATTCTGACGCTTTTCCTCCCAAATATTTATAGCCAGTTCATGCATCTTTAAAAGGCCACGGATGAGATTCTACACGGCTTTCGGCACAAGAACTCATAATGGGCTATGTGGTTTCTGTTGTGATGTAACCATAGTAACCGTAAGCGCCAACTTTGTGGATAGTTTTGGGGTATTAGTTTTGAAAGATAAAAGCCTGTGCTTTTAACAAAAAAAGACAAGTTCAGTGGTAATTTGGGTGCATTCGTAATTTTACTGACAAGATTAAACCGTACACCTGTGTTAGTTTGTCAGTCGTGGGGGTCTAAGCCTGTCTATAATTCTCCCTCCAGGTGGGTCTTTTCAGGAAGTCGGGAGTCAAATCTCGTATCCAAGCCCTCCGTCAGATGAACGAGGCGAGTGGCGCAGACGGAGGAGGAATCAACTACGAGGGCCAGTCGGCCTACGACGTGGCCGACATGCTGAAGCAGTACTTCAGAGATTTACCAGAGCCCCTGCTCACAAGCAAGCTGTCCGAGACCTTCCTCCAGATATATCAGTGTAAGGATGCTAATATATACATTTAGCCTCACATTTGTAGGCCAGAGGAAGGGGGGAAAAATGTGATTGCCACTTTTAAGGCCTGCAAGTGGTCTAAATAAGTAGCATAATAGTGCAGGAAATACAAGATAAATAATGTGATTTCCTTTCTTTCTTTTTTTAAATAATCTCTCCTCTCATAGTATTATGTAACATCCTTTACTCAGCAAAGAATTTCTTAAGGAACAATTATCTCGACAGGAGTTTATAGCTGTGAAAATCGGTTTATACTGAAAAAGCTGACGAACTGACGGTGGTCAGCGGGACTAAACTGGGACCTGTCCTCCCGCAGACATGCCCAAAGAGCTGCGCCTGCAGGCCACCCGCGCCGCCGTGCTGCTGCTGCCGGACGAGAACCGCGAGGCGCTGCGGACGCTGCTGTGCCTGCTGACCGACGTGACGGCCAGCGTGGCCGAGAACCAGATGACCCCCACCAACCTGGCCGTGTGCCTGGCCCCGTCCCTCTTCCACCTCAACACCCTGCGCCGCAAGGAGAGCTCCTCCCCAAGGTCCGTGGGCTCCACTTTTTGAGCCGGGGCTTTTTTTGTCGCTGGTATATTACGGTTACATAACGCACGGCCAGCCCCGTGATTGGGAAAACAGGAAAGGCCCTCTCCACAGAAACAAAAGAGTAGGATGCTGTAGATGGAAGGCAAAAATGAGAGAGGAAAAGAAAAATGCCGGAGAGAAGAGGAAGGAAAAGAGACAGAGGAAATAGATAGGTTGTATAAACATCTTGACCAAATTAAGACGCCCGTTTGCACCGTGATTGGCACATCCATGGGAGGGTTCATCATAGGTGTGCGCCTTACCCATTTGTTCCATCCACAGCCTTTCCCTTTCTCCTTTGACGCTGTTATTAATCTTCGCACCCCCACTTTTTCTGTCAACCCTTCCACGATGACAGGGTGATGAACCGGAAGCAGATGCTGGGAAAACCGGACCAGAGGGACCTGAACGAGAATCTGGCCGCCACTCACGGCCTGGCACATATGATCCAGGAGTGCAGGAAACTCTTCAGGGTCAGTCCGCAGTATTCGAAATGTCGCTCCAACACACATTATTTCGGCTGTTTTGTGTGAAAAGAAGTCACCTTCACCTCACAGCACCATGTCCCAACGTTTGACCTGCAAACACGCTAATTCCAGTTACATAACACGTTAATCCCATTCATGCTGTGATTACATAAAGAAAATGTCTGCCTGGACTGCGTCCATCATTGAAAACTTCCTGCATCTGTCCGTTTCTACCCTTCCCAGCCTTTAGTGCAGAAAGATAAATGCGTGAACGATGTCACAGAGTGGGGATCAGCCTATCCACAAATAGAGTTCCTGACTTGATAAACAGGAAATAATCTACATTTCAAATCCTATTACAATGACATTGACTATGACTAAAATGTGCCCCGCCCTGTCCACTCTTCTGTGCCATGCTACAGTAAATACTAAAACGCTGCACACTGTAGGTCATTACTACCTTTCAAAGCTTTATTAGATTTCAGATGAGCTTCCTGGCTTCCTGTCATGGTCATAATACACAAGTAAACTGAATTATTCCCCTAAATGATTCACTCTAATTAGATTTTTATTCACTAGCGGTGATTTATAAAAAAAAAAAAAAAGAGAGGGAAAAAAAGAAAGAAAATGTCTCCAGTTAAAGACAAAAATGTAATTAACTTTATTTAAATGGGCCTTCTCTTATCTAATGAGAATCTTAGGCCATAACACTGTCAGGGTTTGGCTGAAAGATGGAGTGTACAAATTAGGGAGAGAGACAATAAAAAAGAGTTACAAAAACAGAGATGGCAAAGTGATTTGTTTTATTTTCAGGTTGCAGCTAAATAAAGATTTATTAGCGTAAAATGGATATGGACTCTTATCCAAAGCGCAGCGGGATGCTTAGAAACTAGGTCAAAATCTCTTGTTAAGAGCTCTAAAATTTCAAAGAAGAGCCCGGCGGAGATGATACAAACAAGTTTTTATCTAATAGGCTTTAATTTCCCCGTTGCAGTCGACATTCTCTCTTGCATCTGACGGAAAATGTCGATTAACGATCCACAGACGGTTTTCTTCTAACGATGCTCTTCCTCCCTCCTCACAGATCCCCGAGGAGATGAATCGCTGCAGGAACTCGTACGTGGAGCAGGCCCTGCTGCCACAGCGCCTGGAGGAGCTGGCCGGGGAAGAGGCCGGACAAGCAGGCTACAGGGCCTACCTCCAGGACAGCTTAGATACTCTCCTCAAAGAGGCCAAAGACAAGTTCAGAGGTTATGACAGCTGCTCCACGCCCGAGCACGCTGACCTGGCCTACAGGAAGGTAAGACCGGACGGCTGGCTTTTAAACGAGTTAGAGTTGTGAGATAAAGGAAAAATTCATTACTTGGAGAGGTGGGGGGGAAGCCCATCAGTCCATCTGCCTTATGTAAGGATACAAGCCCCCATTCATGAGGCGCACACACTGGCTCTGTTTCCCATCTTCCCCTTCACTCTGGATGACCGCCTTGCCTCTCGGCCGCTATTCTCTAAATAGTGAGTGGAAAGCAGCAGTTAGGGTTTCCTGTTCAGAAATCCATCCGTGTGAAAGCTGCCCGGCTCTTGGCTTCTCATTCCCATCTCCTCTGGGCTCCGTCCCAAAATGACATCAGCTTGACATGGAGCCTGGAGCACACACGCACACGGACAAACACAACCTCATCATTATCCCAGGCCTACGCTTCCTGTGTCCTGCGCACGAAGGGCCTGGATAGTTTTCCCCCTCCAGTCCGAAAGTCACACGGCAGAGTGTGCGAAGGCTGAATGAAGCAGCTGACCTGGGTGGCAGGGCATTTTTTAAAACACAGCCGGGCTGTCATGAAATTCTGACGGGTCATTCACGATATCGCGAATATCATTTTACAGGCAATTTAGATATTCCACAAAAATCTCCCAAACCATAGTTTACACCACGCTTCCTCTTTCATCTCTCAAGCAATAAATAAAAGCCGAAAAGCACTGAAATGATGATGATTGTCAAAAAAAAGAAGGCGTTTCAAGCAGGGGGCCGTTCTTTCCGATTCTCTAGGTGCACGACGGGTTTCCGCTGCGGCTGTGGAAGGTGACGGTGGAGATTCCCGCCGCTCCCGAGGAGGTTCTGACGCGGCTGCTGCGGGAGCAGGGCCACTGGGACGAGGACCTGCTGGAGAGCCGCGTGGTGGAGGTGCTGGACGACAGGACCGAGGTGTACCTGTACGTCAGGAACACCATGAGCCCGCATCCCACCAGGGACCACTTGGTGCTCCGGTAAGCCCGCCCGCTGTTTTCGGCGCGCACCGTCCTCCTCCTCTTCCCCAGGGTGTGTATTCTAACCCCAGCTCTGCTTCCGCTCTCCGCCAGGACGTGGGTCACAGACCTGCCGAAGGGAGCGTGTGCGCTCGTGTGCACGTCTGTGGACCACGAGGGGGTCCCGGCGATGGGAGTCCGTGCTAACGTCCTCATTTCGCGCTACTTCATTGAGCCCTGCGGAGCCAACAAATCCAGACTCACTCATATCTCCAGGATCGACTGCAGGTAGGGGCATCGGACAGGACCTCATACAAATTGAGCAGCAACTTTGCAGCAACTTCCAACGCACAGTGATCACGTTGTGCTACCGCTAATCGATACACTTGCGGCCAGATCCGGTGAGCTAACGCCACACCTCTCTTTTCTTTTTCAGAGGTCGATTCCCAGAGTGGTACAACAAACTTTACGGACATTTGTGCGCCGCCGAGGTGGCGCGGATAAGAGACTCGTTCACGGCGCCCATAGACAAATAAGGCGGCAGCAGAAAGTTTGACCCTCGGCAGTTTCTCGGAGTGAAACTATTCTTTTCGACAGAGCGCAGACGGAGTGGAAAGTTGTTGAAGCCCATGATAAAGGACTGGCTCTGGAGCTTGAATTGACGGACTTGTTTGTCGTGCATCAACAGACTGGTGCCGCATTAAAAAAAAAAAAAAAACGCCTCCGCCAGGACTGCTGAGAGGACTCCAAATTAGATTTTTCTGGACCTCTGAGGACATTATGTTGCTGAGAAAAAAGGCTGAACGGTTTAGACTTAATCTACAAGGCGTTACTGCTTCTGAGAAGCAAGGGAGTTTAATGGTATGTGTGAGCATGCGTGCACAGAAACGAGCGGTTAATCGGTCCTGTTGGTTTCCAGGCGGTGGATGACGTGTACATACAGTTTTCGCATGGCCCAGTAACACACACCGTCTGCCTTTGTGTTACCTCCGTCCCCTTTTTCTGTTACAGCAAAGCACAGGATGAAGAGTAGACTTTATTGTGTGGAGCCGATGGATGAATCTATGGGTGTGGAAAGATGTAAATATGTTGCTAATACCCAGATTGAGTGGAGACAATATACAGGATATTGTCGCATGACAAGTGACTGATGGTAGGCAAGGCTGTAGTGTACCAGGGTAGAGACAGATGAGTGCTGGTGGCTGGCTCACCAAAAGGAACACACTGATCAAAAGGGCCTCCGTTTCTGACAGGTAGATAAAAAGACACCTCAATGCTTCAAGTGGAATTGAACTCAGCGAGTATCAGTGAGTCACGAGCCTGATATGGATGTGTGTGTTTTTTTACGTGAATATACATAGGTAGGATTAGTTTTCACACTAGTATAGTGAAATGGTGCCAAAAAAAACAAGCGTTTCATTGACTTGAAACAGAGCGAGGCCTTTCGGAGCCATGATGTGGACAGATTTAATTAACAATCAAGCAATTTGATGGACCAAATACTTTTTTTTTTTTTCTTTTAAAGCTTAGAGCTTTCAGTATTAAGCTTCCTTGTCAGAGCCACGAGCAGTTACCTTCAATTCTTCCTTTTAGAGCACAACACATTTCACACTTTTTGAAACCGTTGGCCAGACATCACTTGTATACGTAAAAAGAATATATTAAACCATATTAACTTTCTATTTGCTGTGTAGGTCACAAGAACAGAAAACACAGTGCACTGTTCTATGGGAAACCTCAAACTAAAATGTAAATTTGTTTTAAAAAAGAGAGAAAAAAAGGTCCTTTTATAAAGGTGGGGATTTTACAGGTTTTACTGTAAAGAAGAGGGCAGATTGAATGTGTGGTTTTAAAGGAAGGATGAATATCGTGTAAGTTTCTGTCTCTACCGTCTTGCCAGTGTCCGTCCTCCCCCATCAAAATTAAAAAAGGTCTACGTAAGCGGCTGACCTCTGCTCATAACACTTGCGCTTCAGTCTGACGGTGAGCATCGTTCATGTTGAGTGTATACTTAGATCACTAAGCCATTGTTAATATAAATGTTCGTACCTGTAACAATGTCTCTCCCAAATAATAACGCATGACAATGACAGCTAATTTAAAGCAAAAAGTATTTATACCTCAGATATATGTTTGTTTTGTATCATTGTATCTTTATTTTATTTCATTGTACATGTTAGCTTCGTTACAGAAATTTAAAAAAATGTTTTATCTTTTTTATTAATATTATTTCTGTACAGGTTAATCAAAAGTGCACTATTAAATGTATTAAAAAATGAGAACTGCCGGGGTGTCTGTGTTTATGTAAGGACTACGAATGGGGAGCATATCACAGCAAATTAGACGAGTAACTTGTCTAATCTAAGAATTTTGTGGAACTTTCAGGGGTTTTTTCCCCCAACAAATACGCCCACTCAAATTCATTAAATTCTCTGGATTTCCCTCCATCAAACCCCTTATCAGTATATATCTGTTCTGACTCCATTCCACAACAATAAATCTGCGATTAGATTAAAGATTTTAGTCTCAGTCTAAATGGAGTAAAGGTTATGGATGCTAATGTCCCTTTTAAAATGTGTAATCGCCTGATAAAGTAGAGATGTGGCATTTGTATATGGAAAGGGTCTACCTGGGATGCTTGTTTCGTTCATGCTTTTGGTTTTATGCAAACACTGGGATGATCACAGACCATAAAGCTGGACTGAGTGTTTCCGTAGTACGAGAGCGGGCGTTCTCTTAACAGCAGGAAGGAGTTTTAACCTGATACTGCACTTTATGATGCTGAGCTGGCTCCAAAAAGCACTTGATAAAGAGTAGCGTACAACTAAGAGCCGGAGCACCTTACGGATCACACAGGGCAAAGTAAGCCGAACCACACACCCTCCTTCTTTTGACTTCATTCGTCTTTACTCCACGTTTAAATAACATAAACAACTACAGATAATGTTGTTTTCTTTTGTTTTCTGCATCCGTGTGTGTGCTTCCGTATTCCACACATTGGTGTGTTTTTCCGAGTGCTTGTGTGTGTTGTTTTGTTTTTTTCTCTCTTCTTTCCACTAACACCTCAGAGAGATTAAGCAGGGGCAGATAACCACGAGTCAGCACCCGGGCTGCATTCCTGCTCCGCTGGTTGAGAATCCAGCGCAGAGGCTTTCCCACATTGATAAACTAATATGAACGTGTGCTTTCTCCAACGCGTCCGCTCCTCCTCCAGTTCGTCCAGCGTTCACCCCGAAAAATCCTGCCGTCCTAACAAACCCTACATGTTCTCTGACGGGGGAAAAAAAAAGTTCTCCAAGTGTTTGTTTCCGTTTCAAACACCTCAGCCGGATGAACCTCACAGAGCATCACACTTACACCACCCATCACTACACAAACGAACCTTTTTACAGACCCTTTCATTCACTTCAGTAGGTTGTAAAGCGGCGGGTTACATAACACTCCTCTGTTCAGGCCAAAAATATTTGGGCGGACATATTTGGACAGCTTTTGGTAGTAATGTTGTGGAAACAGAAATGGCATGTCACTTCGATGAGACTTTATTTCAAGAGTCAACACGGAAAAAGGATCCGTCGCTTCCACAAGTGAGCCGGTATCATTCCTCAGCAAGGCTCGACATTTCAGCCAAAGGACACCTGAGCACTCACGTGAGTGGACGACGGGACGGGGGGGGGGGTCATAGATGGAAAGTACCACAGAGGCTCTGTGCTAAATTATTCACGCGGGGCTGTGCACTAAAGCACTTGAGTGTGTCTGACTAGTGTGATTTCCACTTCTGTCTCCCTTAAAAAAAGAAAAGAAAGAAAAAAACGCTGTGTTGACCCTTTAAAGCATGGTGATGATGGTGCTGATGATGGAGAGGAGCTCAGGGCACACACTGACCAGCTGTTGCTGATAGGACTGAGGGTCACTGGTTATTGGAGGTCCAACCCTGCCCTCTGTGGGTTGTGTGCAAAAGTATTTATTTTGGTCTCATTATCCATTCCATTAAAGTGCACAGAAATAAATCACTTAAAAGTAGCATTATCAATCAATCGAGTCTCTGCATGTTATATGATTTTTACATTCAACATAACATTTAGAAAGAAAAATGAGTTGGGCATGAATAGTTCTCCAAATCCACACGTTTGTTTTAATAGTTCCCTATAACTCCCCTCATTCCTTTTCACATTTGTTTCTGTTTTAAAGCATTACTTCTTGAATCATGTTTAGATATCTTTCTGGTTTTATTCATTTTTTTCGAGCTAAAAACATGTTTTTAAAATGATGGCGTGCGAAAAGGCGATCTCAACCCTAAATTCAAACTCTGGTGCTTCCAATTACCTAAAGGAGTCACGTAATAACCTCAGTTAAGTCCACCTGTGTGCGATCAAAGGGTCCTATGACCGGAGTACATAACCACGGATCAGCCATAACATTATCACCACCTGTCTGCAGTCCAGTTGCTCCTCCGCATGCTGCCAAAAGCCCTCTGACCAAAGAGGACTGGGACAGAGATCATGTGGAAGTGAATTTGTGTGTCTCGCATACTGAGATGTTGGGTGTTGGAGGGTGGTGTTTTGCAAAGAAGAAATCTACCAACCTTTTTTCATAGATTTTTTTTAGGACAACCTTAAGACTTTGAACAAAACATCATACAAACACAGTTAAAACTGGATTTATAGAGAGAACAAGTTTAAAAATTGCTTAACAGCAAAATGGTGTGTGTGTGGAAATTTTGAGGCTGGGCCTGGGTAATAAATTCCAGCAAAATAGGGTTTAAATAATTGTTTTAATCAACACACAACAGGATAACTCAAACAGCAAATCCTCCAAATGCTGTTCTCTTCTTCTCTGACAAACAACAAAATATCAACAGTGATCCTGTTCTTAACCAAAGAAATTGCCTAAGACTCATCGCTCCCATTATACTGGTTTACTTTGATCAGTAGATGGCAGTATTCACCCAGCCATCACCAACACTTTAGTGCCTGGCCCCCTCCCACTTCCCCAGAAGACCTGGCCTTGTACTCTGTCACAGAGTTCAACTCAAACACATGAACGGAGGAGGTGCTTTGAAATAAAAAAAAATCAAATAATTTAAAAAGTGACCGAATGGAAAAATCGTTTTCCGGTCTATTGGTACAAGCACATGAACTGTGTGAACAGTGTAAACACATTTCTCATATAGAAATGTGTTTACACATATATTGATATATATATCAATATATATATGATGAAAATATAGACTCCCAGTGTCAAAATATAAAGTTTAGAAAGTGTATATGATGCCACAAGCAAGCCATAAAGTCTAAAATGCTGAGATTACGCATTTTGTAGAGGGTAAAACTATAAAATTGTACACAACCATAAGTGATAGCTTTGACCAAAAAGTCACACAACATATTCAAGCAGACGTTTGACTCCATCGGTAGAAAATGATCCACAACATTTCAAAAAGTAAGATAACACAGCAATTCAAAGATTTTTTTTTGCATTTATCTGAACGCCAAAACACAACGCAGAAAGCAAAGACACTTCACAGACTCAGAGATTCTAAAGAAGCCGTGTGCTTTCTCTGTAATTTTGTTGTTTGTGCTTGTGTTTTTGTGCCTCGGGGTCGAAATCTAATGAGTTAATCTTTGAGCCGAGTTGGATATTTGGGCCATAGTTTAAAAAATTCCCTCCAGGCATTCCCAAATCATTGAATTTACAAGAAGGAGAAAGACAACAATAATGTTTCTGTTGGTGCTCAGTAGTAAATGGACTGGATTTATATAATGTTTTCTCTGGTCTTGCTAATCACCCAAAGGGCTTTACATTACAATTCACATTAGCTCATTCACACACAAGTCCACACCGTGCTTCTAAGTCTTCATATGCTCAACTTTTTGCTCTACAATACGCACACTTTTCCCCACATTACCAAGTTGGAGTTAATATGGGGATCAAGGACACTTTTGACGGCTTGGACGCAGCTTCTAACAATCTGTATTTTGGTAGCTCATAAAAAGCAGACTGGAACATAGAATCTGCTTAAGGTCAGAGTTGTTAGATTTCGTATGAGTGACTAAGAGGCAAGAGGACAGTTGAGTGGTATCTGTGACTTATCCTACTGTCTTGCTTAAAATGCATGCAGTAATCTAAAATATAAAAAATATTGGTAAAATAATAATTGTTTGGTAATATTGTAAGGAAATGTTTTAAAACTGAGGGGAATTATATACAAAAAAAGAAATGTAATGTTCTAAACTTAATCAAAACAAGTTTCTAAATTCACCATTTAGACAATCTGCTGTTGTGAGCACTTAGTATGGTTTTAAGATTTTGATTTTCCTTGATTTTCCTTTCCTTTTCTTTATTTTAGGAGATGACAATATAGAAGGTGACAGTAATGTTTATGTATGAAGCAACGCTATGTCTTTACAGTTGGACAATTATGGTGGAAACTAAATGCTAAAAAGACCAGTCCAAGGTGAATATATTTGACCTTAAACTGTAAAGATTTTTTTATATAAACTGCGAGTATTGGAAGTATTAGTTATATAGTTGTTTTTTTTTAATTATGGGGCTTTAAAGATACAAGTAGTACTGTTAAGGGGCTCAGTTTAGGTAACAAAAAGTTTTCCAGTTAATGTGTTACCTTTACCAAAAAGAAGCATTCACATTTAGGACCACAAAACCTGTTGTGTCATTTTAAACAGATAATAGTTAAGTTGTAGATTGTATGTTTTTCAGAGGGTTCCCCCATGTGTGGATTTTGCTTTGCATAATTATAATTACCCAGAATTCCATGCTTGCTTTTTAAATCTTTTTTATCCTAGACTAGATTAGAGACTGAAGGTGAAAAAAAGATATGAGACAAACTTGCATAATATGAACTAGTGCATTGCTATTTTACATGGTGTACAGTCATGTAACACATAGATGAAGTAAAACTGAGTTTCAAATTATCCCCTTTCAAATGATCCCCTCACTTTGACTAATAAAACTTGATAAAAAATAGTATGATTGTGGGACAAATTCAGAATGAAATGATCTCTACATAACATTACAGTAGTTAATCGTCTGTGAAAGTATCATTACATATTTTACAGGATACGTTACGTTAAAAAATGTTAGGTGAAGACCTCTGAAGGTATGCGACAGGCAGAGTGGGTCAGGGGAGGACGTTGAAAACTGGCGCAGTTGGTCAACTTCACTGCGTCTCTTCCGTAGTTATGAAACATTCCAGCGCAGGTTTTGTAACACAAGGGCCCTGGCCAATCACGGCACGAGCCCGCTGTTCACGTGACCGTGCTTTTCTTTATGTAACAAACGGGTATCTTGTGGGAAAGCCTGTCGCTCCATTGGTAAGGACCGAGGCAGCTATCGAAATGTGGAAGCACGTCGGCAGAAGAAAACCTAAATCCACATAGCGTTTGGCCGGCATCTCGGTGCTATAATGTCACTACAACCGCAAGCGGAGGAGGCTCAGGAGGAGCGAAGCGTCTTTTTCATCGGCGCCGACAGCCTCCCCGAAGAGGAAGACCACCATGAACTTATACTTCAGAAAGCCAACGCGTTAGCATCTGAAGACTGCCTCAAGGAGGCCATTGACTGGTTTTCAGCGGCTATGCGCTATGGCCCCGTGCGACCGGAACAACTAAGCACTTTCGTGGACTGTATCCTCCGCAACTTCAAGAGGAAAGCGCCGGGGCCGGATGCTTCCAAAGGCCCGGGCCGAGAGGCAGCCGGGGGCTCCGGTAGCGCGGTGTTCGACTGCCCCGGCTGTCACAGCTTCCTAGGCGAACCAGTGACCATAGCCTGTGGACATACGTATTGTAGAAGGTGTTTACATCGGCGGCTGCTTTCGAAATGCAAACTGTGCAGCGAGCCGGTCGGCGGCAAGGAAAAAGTGAATGTAACTCTTGGCGGACTTCTAGAAAAATGGTTTCCCGACGACGTTAAAAAGTCGAAAACGTTGGGTGAAGTGGACGCAATGTGCAAAAGAAAACGCTACAAAGAGGCCGTGTCACTGGCGACCGACGTCATCCGGTCAGGTGAGTGTTACTATCGCATCGTTCGCAGGTGTTTCTCGGGCACAATTAAGTGTCACGGGTAATAATGCTAATGCGTCGCGTTTGGTGGGACACACGGGTGTGTGAGTGTTGGTGTTATAACAGTCTTTACATTATATGCTGGCCAACAGGGCAAAAGTTCCGTTACTTCCACTGACCGATATTCTGAAAACAGCCACTGTGCCTCCATGTGTTTGCGGGTGCCACCCTCTTCCTCGCAGCCCAGAGCCACTGGTGGGCCTTGCTTACGAAATGGAACAGAGTGCGCATGCGCGCTCGGGGAAAAAGTTGCATAAGGCAGGTCGTGACACATACTGGGGCAGGTTTTGTAACTTATCAAATGGGGGGAGGACATCTTTATTTTGTAATTCTCCAGGCTGTTACGAAGCACGGTTTCATAAATGTTTTACAGGCGAGGGGACGACCATACCCCATTTGTGGCTCATGTAAGAGGCCAGGGTTAGGCCGGTGGTCCAGCAGACTCTGAACAAGGCAGCTGGCTAGCTTTTGTGGTGTTTTGTAATGAAAGAGAAGAAACTAGGTCAACAGTTGGACATTGTTTTGTAGTTAACATTCCCCTGGCTGGGATTGTTGCAGGGTTTACAGTAACTGTTGATAACATCAGGGATTGACCTCTTTTCTTTCCCTCCCCCCACAAAATGGTGAGGGCCGACAGATACTTCCAAAAGATGTGGAAACTGCTAACAGCCAGTCATTGTTCGACAGTAATATCATGATGTGCCATCAAACTGTAAATAGGTGGTGCACTGTAGGTAAAAACCCTGCTGCAAAAATAATATTTTTTCTTTTTTTCATCATATTCACCTTTAGCTAACCTCTTATTATGCAGGAAGGAACACTAATTTCCTGCTTTTATTCTCTCCTTTTTAATGAGTCTGCACTTACAATAGCATGACAGTCTTATGTAAGGTCTGGAATATCACTTGGAATTCTAAAGTCGGTAGATATCAAACTGCACCATGCGTCCTTGGTGACCTCTGTTACCTAAATGCCACGGGCGGGATGAATATGACGGGCAGAACTTTACATATTCTGATATGGTCTAAGAACTTCGTGACCTTGGAGAGGGTTAATTAAGTGGTTACGTACAAAGGGATTTTTTTTTATTTATTTAGAAATAACTAAGTTCGGATCTTTCAGAACATAGTCCAAATGGAAAAAGGTTTTGAATTTTGTGCTTTTGAAAAAAAAAAATTCAAAAGGGTTCCATTTTTATAAACGTATCAAATTTTTTCTTTCTTTTTTTAACGATCCTTCACTTGAGGTGATCCTCTCATAACCCTTTGTAACCCACAATACTGCCAAAGACCAGTGTTGAGACAGAATGTAACACCTCTTGAGAGCTGCGTTGACCTCATGATGACCAGTCACACTGCAGGGCTTGTGTATGCTGAGAAATAAATTAAGATGGAATGCAGGTCAGCTTAATATAGCAGCTGAATTCAGTCCGCAGTACAGGTCATTTTGAATTAATTCAGTTCAGCTTTTACTGCCATTAACTTGATGGTTTAACAAAGCTGGTGCTCGCAGAAAGAAAAGCCCAGTGTTTTGAAATGTATTTTTCTTTACAGTTTTTACTGAGTCAGCTTTTGGTTTTAGTAGGTTTTTTTAGGCTCCTCCCACTCTTCACCAACTTTATTAATTATGACCAGTCCTCTGACCAAGGCTTATGCAACATATTTATTACTCTGTTCATCGACGCAGTCACTGTAGAATTTGGGGGTGTGACGTGATTATGTAATAAATGAGTTGCTGGACACAAAAACAAACTGTCTGATAAAAAAAAAAAAAAAAAAGGTATCGCCTGCCTGTTTTTTTTTTTTTTAATGTAATTTAGTAAATCTGCCAACACTTCTGGGACTGCTGTGCTATTCAAACTTTTAAATGAACGACGGTGTTTTTCTTTTCCCTGCAGATCCACACATGATGGCCGCTCGTCTGTCTCGGGCTGAAGCGCACATGGCTCTCAAACAGTATCGACTGGCTTTCGAGGATGCAGAATTATGTTCCAAGTCCAGTTGTTCTGCTGAGGTGCGTCCTTCATCCAGTCGCTTTTTTAAAAACTTTTCCTAAATTTTTTACATTAAAATACAAAACACGTGCGATACATTTGGTTATTTTCAAAGTCCACCATGTGCTCCCTCTGATATTTGTCAGTCAGATAGCTATTTTGGAGGCAGCATGGTGAACTGAGTAATTGGATTACAGTTATTGAGGATGGGTCTGGGGATAATTGTGAGCCTGTTAGTTCATTTACATAATATATTTTTAGCACTGTACCTATTGGGGTAAATAAGTTACAGAAGAGTCTCACGGCTCATGAAGTTTTCCCAAAGCAGAGCGGAGAATACAGAGATTAAGGTCAAAACCATTCATGTCTATTGCATCACAACAGTGGACAACATGAATGTCTTGACTCTTCAGGAAAACTCTTCGTTCAGGGTGTTGTATTTATTTATTTATTCTTAGGAAAGGTGAAAAGTGCTACATACCAGCACACCAAAAGAATCATTGAATCTGTGTTCATAGTGTGCATGCAAATACCCAATGGAGCCCTAAGTGTCCATACAGAAGTAACGTTTCTTTTGTCCTCCCTACACCTCTAGGCTCTGTTCTGGAAGGCCATGGTACTCCATGAAATGGGCCGAGTGGATGAGTCTCTCCAACTCTTCCTCCACTGCCTGACTGTTGATGAGGACTTTCTCGGTGCTAAAAGACAAGTGGAAAAGGTTAGAGAAGTTTTTCGAGAGGTTGTGTTGAAAAGGTGGTATTTGACCCTGTTGTCATGTTGAAAATAAACAGCAAAGGTCACATAGTGTTTGTGCCTGCACACTGCAAGCTGTCGCGGAATTCTTAGCGCGATGTCACAGCTTCAATGAGTCCAGTTACATGAGTGTCCCAGTTGTCTTTTAATAGAAAGTGGGCAGCATAAAAGCCCAGTGTTTTAATAGCCTTCATCCGTTGTTTTTCGACATTGACTCAGCGGTCAGTTTGGAGATTCCATTTAACAATGAGGCAGAAAACTATGTAACTGAAAGCACGAAAAATGTAGCTTCTGATAAGCAGCCTGCTGAATGGACCTGTTGTGTTTTAGAAAGATTTACATCCATGTTGTCCTCTAGTGTCACAGACGATTTAACCTCCAGCTCTCAGGAGACCCCCATACGACACCTGAGTTGTTCAGGGTGAAACACCACATGCCGTCTTTTTCTCACTATGAGCTGACACGCCCCCTGCCTCCCTGAGGACTTGTATGGATTTAACATTTGTGAAGAGAAGACGACTTACAAATCCTACAAATTTAGCTTTTATTTAATATCTTAGTCATGGCTGTGTTTTGATGAATAGAAACACACTGAAATTGTTGATGGTTCTGATTAGTTCTGCTGAAAATCTCTGTCTAAATATTAAAAGACAGCACAAAAACATCAAACTTTATACTGGTACTTTGAATTTCCCCGAGTATGTTTCTACATCTTAGTGGTGGTCTGGCATGTCATTACATAACTCTGTAATAGGTCAGATCTTGTGACTCTGCCTATAATGGCATTAGTACCACCTAATAGATAGAACACAGACAGTATTGTAGTTATGTAAGTGACACACATTTGAGTCATGCATTTTCAGACAAAACAACATTTATTCTTGGCAGGGACGGTGAGTGAGAGCTGTTTGTCCAGCAGCACATGTCGACTTTACCCACCTGGCCTCATTTCAGTAGAGCTGGTGGAGAGGTGAAGCAGGGGATAGGAAAAACAGCCCGTCAGATTGGAATGATTTATTTTTAAACCTTAAGTATAGGGCAGAAAGTGCCCTCTCCTGGAACCTCTTTAATTACCAATTTGTGTTGCTAACACAAAGTTAAGGTAATCCTTTCAGAATTTAATAAATGTTTAAAAAAAAAAAAAAGAGCCCCACTGATCATAAAGGATCCAGGTCAAATTAGAGGTCAGTAAACGTTGCAAAAGGAGTTGTCAAGCTATTATTTTAGCTTGGGTTCCTCAATACTGAAATTAGGGTATCTTGTTTTGACCTCTTAGGTAAATATGGTATCTAAATGATCCTTTATTGAAGGAGTTGTAAAAACATGGTAAATGAAAATAGAAATGACAACTTGTGCAACACATGCTTTTTGAAAAATTGTGTTTTTGGCTGTGGGACTCCATGAGGATCAAGCTCTTTCCCCTCTCTCCTGTAATTGACAAATCCAGGCCAGTTAAAATTAGAAACCCTTTCTTGTCTCCTGGTCCGGATGAAAGGGGTTATTGTTCCAGACAGGAATTATCTGTTGTACCCCTCCTCGTTGCCACAGACAAAAAGTGACAAAAAGTAACCACATTTCTTTGATATATAGGAGATGTTGGAAAGCACATAAAAGAAAAGACCCTTGTGGAAAGCGGGTGTCTTAGTTTATCGGTTTTGTCTCTGATATCCCTTTGGGGACTCTAAATCCTGCTGAAACTTGATAGAGTTCAGTTCCAGTGACGAGCTGATGCTTTTTTTACAGATCATGTGTGACCTGCTGTCCCCTGCTGATGAGAACGTTAAGGTTGGCCTGAGGGAAACGACGCAGAACACGCTGCCCCACTTGCGCAGCAAGGCCCTGGCAGAAGATTCCCGTTCTCCAGCCAAGAGCCCCGTCCAGAGACAACACCAGCACCAGGCCCGGGCCGCCTCCGCTCACAGCGCGGACAACCAGGAGGTAACGGCCCACTCCCGTCGCATAGTTTATCGATTGATTTATCGTGGTTTTGTTTTTGTTTTTTGTTTTTTTATTAAACTCAATTCTAATCTGACCTGTCATCCTCCAGAAACGCTGGGAAAGTCTAGAGCGTCCCGGCCTGAGCAGAGCGCAGTCGCTGCGGATGCACGGCTTGACCAGCGGCGAGGAGGGGCTTAAGAGAGTCTGCTCCGCCCCCCAGCTGGGCGACCAGGACAAGGGGAGCCTGCTGAAGAGGAAGCTGTCGGTGTCCGACATAGAATCTTACATCGTGGACAGCGGAAGTAGCAAACATAAAAAGCAAGGTTGGTTGGCAAGCCTAAGCCGTTTACTTGGGCTCATGCTTTCACAGCATGGTACTGCGGGAAGAGCGTAGGGGGCGCTGTCACCACGGTGATTAAAGGTGTTCTGTTCTCTGAATACTTTCAAGGTGTGGCAAAAATCTCAAAACAGCCTGCCAAAGCAAAAACCTGCAAAAGTGTTCCAGAGGGGAAGTTGGACCCCAACGATTTGGAGTGTTCCCTCTGCATGAGGTGGGTACGCGCCGGACCGGAACCTTTGCACCTCACTGAGCACCCACCTGACAACTGCACCTCCTCTCCACGCAGGTTGTTTTACGAGCCGGTGAGCACACCGTGTGGCCACACCTTCTGCAAAAACTGCTTGGAGCGCTGCTTGGACCACACTCCCCAGTGCCCGCTCTGTAAAGAGAGTTTGAAAGAGGTGAGAAGGCGACATCTGTCCAATCAAGCCGTCAGTCCCCCCCGCCATGCAGCAGTGCTCAGCTGTAACTCTTCTCCTGTTCTCTTCAGTATTTAGCATGCAGGAAGTACATGGTGACCACCATCCTGGACATGTTAATCAAGCAGTACTTGAGTCAGGAACACGCAGACAGAACAAAAATTCACCTGGAGGAGACCAGAGAGCTTTCTGAGTAAAGAAATCCTTTCCATTTCCCCATATCTGCATTTTCATCAAATGTTGTTCATGGAAGATTCACAGCACCTTCTATGGTCTAAAGTATCTCTCTTTCCTCATCTCTCCACAGCCTGACAAAGAATGTGCCTATTTTTGTGTGTACCATGGCTTACCCGACTGTGCCTTGTCCACTGCATGTCTTCGAGCCACGCTACCGCCTCATGATTCGCCGCTGTATGGACATAGGCACGAGGCAATTCGGGATGTGTATCAGCGATCCTCAGAAAGGGTGAGCACTCAAGCGCACGTCTTTTCTTCCTCTCTGCCAATAAAGCAGCTGCCTTTCCACTTTCTTATAATGAACTGTTGTCTTTTCATGCAGCTTTGCAGATTATGGCTGCATGCTAATAATCAGAAGTGTCCACTTCCTCCCCGACGGACGCTCCGTCGTGGACACCATCGGTGGGAAGCGCTTCCGGGTCTTGGCTAGAGGAATGAAAGATGGTTACAGCACTGCGGACATCGAGCATTTGGAAGACAGCAGGGTAAGAGGAACTGAGCGCGTGTTGTTGAATGTTACAGTATGTTTTCTGTGAAAGCCGCCGAACGGGTCTGCATTAGAAATCATGCAGGAATGCTGCTCTCCAGTCATTTAGCTGAACTATTCCTGCCTGCCAGGTGGAGAACGGAGAGGAACTCGAAAAGCTACAGGAGCTGCACGACGCCGTGTACGAACAGGCCCAAGTGTGGTTCCAGAACCTCAAGATTCGCTTCCACAACCAGATCCTGCAGCACTTCGGACCAATGCCAGAGCGAGAGCCTGACATTCAGGTACGGACGCAGCCGCTTTGCTCACTCACCGGGACAGTTTTCTGCCCAGAGAAAGTAAAAAGGAATGATGTTCCAATCATGTCCACAAAAGTCCACCTAAAACTGTCTTTTCAAAACGCCACAGAAATTATTAACTATGTAGAGCTCAATCTTAAATCATAACTCTTGAATATGTTGCCTGATTAGACATAAATAGCATTTAACTAACATAGGGGCGTAGCTGAAATGACCGGCTCATTGGCCCCATTAGTGAGGCCTCACTACACGTGAGGTAACGAGTATCATTAGTGGTGTGGTGTGATGTTTATCGCTTTGTCCAAATGAGCGCTCCAAAGCGCTTGGGCAAAGTTCTAGGTGGAGTTGTCTCCCAATGAACAAACTTTAGGGGGAGCCATATTGACACGGATCCATCGGCCTCAGAGGTCTTACCATCAGAATGTGGTTGCCGGGTCTGCTCAGCTCCGATTCAGTCTCTAAGAGATTACATCCCCGTTGTGACGACCCCCTCCATGGAGAGCGTGGACAATGTAGGCTAAAGAGCTTAAAAGGTGCTTAGTGGCTAATCTCTGTGGTCCTGTTGCATCACAGCAGTTTCACGCAAAGAATTCCCAACTCCACATGTGCAGAGGCACAAAAAAAAAACAATAAAACAACAAAGCGGGAGCATCGAGTTTCAGGGCTGTTACATAATCTCTGAGCGTGTTTCCTACAGGGCAGTACAGGAACCCTTTGGTTCATAACTCTTCCTGAAGCAGCAGAGACGGAGCAAAACCTCCTTCCTAACAATCCTTCCTAAGCACATTTTGTAACTGGCTCAGGCTCTAAAAGAAAAAAGGGATTGTTCTCATCTGTGGAGCTCGCATTCCTCCGGCAGATTACCGCAAACCATCAAGTATCTGTTTGCTCGTTCGCCGGGGCCTGCGACTACAAGCATCGGCTAAGCAGTTATGTAAAGGCAGGCGTTAGAGCACCACACAAACAGAAAAGCCAGGCCTTAAACAACAACTTTCATTCAATTCAGCACTTAGAGCGCTTTAAAAAAATCAATAGTTTTAGTGTTTTGTATGGGTAGCTGGTGGATGACTGGATTTCACCCCTGCTTCAGAGGGCAGGTGATGGACCAGCACAGAGTCCGTAACACCATGAAGGATCACCAGGGAAAAAGCCGATAGCAGCCGTTATCGGTTTCTCCGCGCACTGGTATTGCTTTGACCAACCTAATGCGGTGAAAGACCTGAAAACAAAATTCTGATCAAAGGAAAGTTGAAGATGGGTAGAAATGAACAGATCTAGAGACACTCTGCAGTAATACCTGCTGAGGCTCAGGGGGTCAGGGTTTTGACGGTCTGCCGGTTCCCTCTCTCCCCTCCAGGCCACTCCAAACGGTCCGGCGTGCTGCTGGTGGCTACTGGCCGTTCTGCCCATCGACCCCCGGTACCAGCTGTCTGTCCTCTCCATGACCAGCCTCAAAGACCGCCTGGTGAAGATCCAGCACATCCTCACGTATCTGCAGAGCATCCCCAACAACTAGAGCTTCCCCACAACGAGCCTCCACCTAGTCTTTTGAAGAGAAGCCTGGGAAGCCACCGGTCAGCATCTCGCCAACTTCTGCCTCGACTACTAGCTCCAGCCCGTCGCATCTCCTGTCACCGCTCTCTGTATGAAATCTACATCCATAGTAGAGATAAGACCACACCACCTCAGGGAAGCCCTCACTGACGTGCAGCTGTTCTGAAATTACCGCCCCCCAAAAAATATATATATAATGCAAATAACGTAATCCGCTCTTGCTTCCAACACAGTTAATTTTCAGAGGAGCTTCACTGTTATTTGTGGAGGTTAAAAAAGACTTAGAAGATGAGAGAGCAGTTTCCAACAATGGGACAGTTTTTTTTTATGATCGGTAAATATGGAGAGTCCAGTGTGTGACGGTTGAGTGATTCCATGAAATAGAATCCCAAATGCAGAAAGTCCCAAAAAAACTAAACAAAACAAAAAACTTAAGTGATGGCAAGATTTTCACTACCTATCACACGGCACTTTACGGGGATCGAAGATGCTTCAAGAGTTCAGCCAGTCGGGTTCTAGCGGAACCACCGCGAGGAGATCTGCACCTAAAGCGAGGCGGCGCCAAGCACTGATGACAGTACCACACTTCTCAGAAAGAAAAACCAACAAGTTTTCTTCTCACTCTCTTCTGTCATGCTTAACACGCACAACTTCCATTGCTGCCTCCGCAGAGTAGCAAAGGACTTTAAATGTTAGACCGCAATCATCTGAATTTCTTCCCACTGTTGTTGTTTGTTTTTGAGTTTGTTTGTTTGTTTGTTTGTTTTCCCCAGGTTTCTATGTAAAGAGTGTGTGACCCTGAAATTTCACTTCTTTTACTATGGTTCAAAATGTTTTTAGTTGTTTTTTTTCTTGAACCTATCTTCCCGTGACTGCCTCGGGGTCGGCGCTGTCCTTTTTCGGTTGGCGTCTAAGTTGACCTTAATGAATCAGCCCTATCTTCCGCACGTTTGTGTCCTTCCCTAATGCTGAAATTCTGCAGGAGTGGGAGACATCGTGAGCAATTCGCCCGCTCCGTTGTCGTAAACACGCTCCTCTCCTTCAAACCAAAAGTCCAATCTCCTGTTGGATTGCATTTATTTCTGAGGAAAAGATCATTTGTACATTGGGACTTATGTTTTGTTTCAGAAATACTGAGGGGGATCTTGCAATACTATGAATAGAAATAAAATCATTACACATAAAAGGGGTGAGTGTTAATCTTCATAATAAGCTGCTCTGTCTGCTTGGGGGAGAGAGGGGGGGTACCTGCAGTGCTTCGGGGCGGGGGGGTGGGAGGGGGGCATTTGCCTTACACCATTGCGCATTGTGATAAGAATACCATGATGCGGTGGCTTGGTTACCATTCCCTTTTTTGCCATAGCATGAATGTTTTTTTTAGTTTTCTTTTTATATATTATTTTTCTCTGTTAGTCGGAATTAAAGTGTTATCTGTAAAAGATACAAAAAAAACTTTTAAAAAAGGCTGTTTAAATGTAAACCATTTGTACAAAGGCTTTTTGAACGACTCTTGCTTTTTGCTCAGATGTTTTAAGTTATCGATTTTCAATAATAAATGCACTTTTTTTCAACATTAGCCTTCATGTCCTTTTTTTTATGGGCATTTTATTAAGAGACTACATGAGTAGGAAACAAGACATTTTTCTGGAGAATGCTGAGATTTGTGTTTAAGAAAAGTAAAAAAATAAGTACATCCACATGTCTACAGAGCAGCCACATCAGAACATTCCAAATGTACACAGTTATGCTTGTGTCATTTCAGCAAAAAAAACAAAAAAACTGCAAAATAAATATCACATCAATTCCGAGGGAAAAACTCAGAAATCCAGTGGAAAGCATGCTGCCACATGGTGGCAACCACGCAGCATTTTTGTCGCAGCAAAGTGTTTTATAACTCACCCTTTACCCACTGCACTAAGTCGACCTCAGCTCATGATAGAAAAATAGAGAGACTTCTTTTACGTCCTAATTTTACAAATCGGGTAGCGAAACACGTCGAGCCACACAGGCGGGATCGGGAGTTCTGGGTGGACGCCTCCTGGATCCGGTTCCAACGTCTCCCGTCGAGAGGTCACCGGGCGGAAAGCATCATAACAAACTCTGCAGGAGACACAGAAGAGCCAGTGAGAGGGGCTGATCACACAGAACACACCAGAGAGACATGCGGCCGCATTGTTCACAGCAACCCACGTGCTGTGGCACAGTGCCTCCATTGTTACCCGCTCTGCCGCCGATTGGCTCATCAGAGAAGAAGCACTAATTCTTCTTTCCTCTATCTATTTTCACAAATCCTTAATATCGAGCATATATTGGCTTATACTGACTGCAGTCAGCAGATTGCTGCTTGGGTTTGCTCATCACCGTGATTTCTAATTATGAATCCATGTGCTGCATTAGGGCCACATCAACCCAGGTGAGAAATAAAACATGGAGGCAGATGGCTTAAGGCAGGCTTCAGTGTCTTTGACACAACCGAAATCACCCTCCACAGCAGATGTGAATCTGTTTGGCTTTAGATACAAATTGAAGCAAGTTTCCACATTAGCCGAATAATAAATAAATGGTGGAATCGGCGTTGTGAATCGTGCCGACGTGATTCAAACCGGTCTGATACACTGACTTACAATGATGAGAGGCTTCCGCTCATCGATCGTCTCTGAGACTGACAGGCCTTTCTCACGTGCTCCCAATAATTGTAATCGATTGGAGCGCCCGGACCTGATCACATTATCATGCGTGTTGTGCCCAAGGTGTTTGCACGTGTGCGCAAAGGCGAGCACGTTTTGTTTCAGGGCCGGCCAAGTTGTGGACGGCCGAATTGTCTGTGGAAGCGGCACGTGGGGTTGTAATTCCTGCGGAGTCCTTGAGTCTTATTTGTGTGTCGCATGTGACAGGTGTGCGAGCGTGTACACTGGAGAGCCGACGCGCTGCTGATCAAATTGGATTGGCCTTTTCAGCCATCCCACCTTGACTTAACTGTGTCTCCTTCCCCATTTTCGACATTTTCCAGCCTCATTCCTTGGGTGATTTTCTGCCTCTGTCACTTCCATCCAGAACCCGACCCCATGAGAAATACTTTGTCCTTTCTTGCCTGCATTCTTCCCTAATATATACTCCACACTGTGAATGTGGCAAAGACGTCTGTGCTTTTTCAGACAGATTAGGCAGATGTCACTGGGTTACAATTGATGTTACAGGTGATAACAAAGTTGATGCTACTTCCCCTACCAGGAATTCCTGCCAAGATTCATCCACATCCGATGCGTTTTACAGACGTGGAGGAGTAACTGAGTGATTTATGGATAGTTTACAGGTCCTTCATTTGATAAGTCGCTTCATTTCTAACTTTTATGATGGTAATGAGGGAAGAGCCATGCCATGAGAATCTACAGCTAAATCAACAAAGTCCTGTCTTCAGCCCAAATCAAATAAACTCAGACAGGACCCAATAAACATGGAACTGTTTTATACAGAAGGCCGAGCTTTAAAATACTCATTTGCCTCTTTATCATCTATAATATTCACCAAGTATAGATTACAGGTTGTATATTTTGTGGGATCTGTGTATGTGTTTGGGTTGTAGCTGGCTTTTAGTTACTTAAACTATTTAGATTAATCACACATGGCTTTCAGCTGATAACTGAAGCCTAATCAGGAGCATATCATCAATCTTTAATTCTAATTGGTTGCTTATTTGATATAGAAACAATTTATGTGCATAATTGGAAAAGGTGGATTTTTTCTGGGCTTGAGTTCCTGTCACAGACTCGCGTTGTTTCCATCCACTCACCGTCAAAATCGATGCTGCCGTCTTTGTTCAGGTCAATGTCTCCGAGGATCTCCTCCAGTTCGCCTTTTTTCAGCTTCTCTCCAAGGAGGGTCTTCATGCCCTCCTTTAGCTCGTCGAGTGTGATCTTGCCGTCACCATCGCAGTCAAACTGCCATACGCAGGGTGAGAGGGGGACATGTCATAAAGAGAAGAAACCATAATACGATCAGCAGAGACATGGGAAAATGAAAGTACAATAAAAGTGGCGGGAGCAGAGAGTCAGAATTGTATTAGAGAGCAGCAATATTAGGCCCATGCAACGGTGAAAACAGCTGCCGTCTGCAGATGGTTCATCGCTGACTCACAAAGAGGTCTCTCTCCCCAATAAAGAGAGAAAGAGAGAGACCTCCTAATTGACTCATTGGAATGAGTTAAAAATTCATTCTCCTTCAAAGTGTAGCCGGTGCTCTGAAGTTTGTTTCTGTTCAGCGGGAGATAATTCATTATCCCATACAAATGGAGTCAGGAAAAACAAAATGAAACAAAAAAAGAACATATGGATTGCTGGTTTTTAACGGCACCCTTTCACCATGGGAATGGCAAAAGTAGACACTGGGGCATGAATGCTATTATGTTCATGTAAATAAGGTGTTTTAGGGCTTCAGAGCTCTTTTGTGGTGTGTTTTCAGCTGTAAATAATGTTCATAGCAGATAAATCTCCCAACTAAGAGATAGATGAAGCTGAACTGAGGGTAAATGAATAGTTTTATTGTTTAGTTGTAACCAATAATAGCACACAGGGCCATAGTGAGATTGGAACCAGTGTTTAAATGTGTAGATCTGATATTTGGCTGAACGTCACTTAAGAAGTTATATCTTGACCAGATTATTTTTGTTCCCTGCCTGTGACAGAGCACTGGGTATCTCTGATCTATTACTTGGACTTAAAAAGAGGAAGAACTCCAGAAAAACTTATTGCTACATTTTTTTTTTTTTATCTATTTGATGACCAGGGGGTGATTTAGTGTAATTGTGCCACTGCTATTTCCACTATTATTTGACACAGCTGGTGTGGACTAAATTGGGGGGGGGGGGTCTTTAATCCAATAATCTCACCAATTGAACAAGTGACATTTTGACCAAACAGAACAATCGTCCTGTAACTCTGAAAATATCTCCTACATGGCCTTTTCTTTGTCGGGGTGTTCAGCTGCAAACTTCAGTTAAGCTGGACGATGTTGGTTTTTTAGAGCACAATGCTTTTTCTTCTTGGAAAGCATTCTGTCTGCCACAGGCCGTGTAACACAGGGACGACTAAATGAGTTTTCATTAAGAAATAAAAAAAAAAAAATTCACAATGAGGAAAAACAGTCAGATAAGCAACATGCATGCTTGTTTTGGAGAGAGACTTTGCAGCAGAATTCCCACGTAGGCCTCTCGACAATGTGCTTGAGAGCATGTGCGTGCTGGTGTTTTGTTACAGCTTAACTAAATGGGCTGTGTACCATGCAGATAGGGAGACCTAGGGATGCTGTCGTGAATCATAATTAATGAAAGTTGGGAGGCCTCGGACTATTAAAAGACATTTGGGAAATTTAAACCATAAAAGGGTTTTCGAGCATGCAACATTTGACCCCAAAAAAACCCGGGAAGGTTTGGGGGGCCTCCGTACCTGTCTGAAGGCGCTGCGGAGCTCCTTCAGACCGACCATGTGAGCCGTCTCCGCCAGCATCCGGGGCCCCATTAGCTCACAGAAATCGTCAAAGTCTACATGCCCGCCCCCTGCAGAAAAGCACACGGCATCCACGGGTCAGAGCGGCAGCACCTGGCGCACCAATTAAGGCCTTCCACCGCTACCTGTGGCAAATAGACGTGCGGCAAAAAACAGGAAAAGTGGTCCGGCATGCGAGGAATTCTTTTTTTCGGAAACATTTTCCTCCTCATATCTTGAGTCATGTCGCTCCTTTTATGCTGCTGCTAAAACTCTCCTCCCTCCGTCATGCAAAATGTGCACGTCTAAGTGAAATACCCTCATTAAATGTGCGGTTTGTAACGCGCAGGAACTCAACACACAGGACCGATTTGAGT